TTTGACAATCAAAATGGTGATGTAACCTTGATAATTTTTTTAGGCATTATTACAATTTACAATATAAGTATCAAATGTCACTAGTAATGAAAAATATATAATTGCATTATTTAAATATGTTACATGACTTTTCTTAATACAGCCTTATAAGTAAAGCTTATATAAATGCTGAGTTGGCATAAAATTAATTGCTAAGTTAATAATGAAAAATATAGCTATATCTCAATTTTATAGGAGAGGAGGGGAGGGGAATATGTGTTGGAAATGCAATTAGGCATTTTTTTCAAACCCCCACCCCCAATTTTACTAGACTGTAATCCAAATGCAGTACCCTTTTTATAAATAAAGCTTTTTATTTTCTCATTATTTTTTTATTGCTTCTGTTTAGATTTCATGTTGTAAATAATTTTTTTCTGAACTATCTACATTTTCAAGTGATAGAAAACACGAGTTATTATGGAGAGCTAGTTTATTTGATTAGGGAAAATTGTTTACAACAATTTGCTATTATCAAAAAAAATACAACGGAGTTACAATTGAAAGAAAATTTCAGAAATGCTGTAGTCTCTTTAAAAACATGAAAATTGAAATAAAAAGTGAAAGGCAACTTTTATATGTTATTTTTATGATTAGTATGTTATTTTTATGATTAGAATAATAAAATAAATTAAATCTGAGCAGCCGTGGCGCAGTGGTAGCGCACTTGTCTCAGATACGTAAGATCCGTGGTTGTCTCAGATATGTAAGATCCGTGGTGCCCCACCTCTGGGCAAGTTTTGCAACATCGGTTGGGAAGGAGGCGTGAACTTCCTACTAAATGCTCTTCTGTGATGCTCTGTGATAAGGCCATAAGGACTTCTTGGGGCACCTTAATCAACTTGAAAATAAATAAATAAATGAATAAATAATCAGACAAATAAACGGTTTTTTAAGAAGAAAATATAATTTTTTTTTATAAAATCATGTTTAATTGATCTGCCATCTAAAACAAATGGTTATAAATACAAAATTTCAGATATTGAGTTGGAAAAAATTATCCAACAAAATAATGAAAATTAATAGAAAAAATTTCTAATGGTTTGTTATGTTTATTTTAGTATTTTTTTTTTTTAAATATAGTTAAGATATAACTGTATGTGATTATGTGAATTTAGCCAAACCAAAAATACTCTTGGTCACTTGTCTTTATGTATTTAATAACAACAACAAAAAAGGGTGGGTTTGGTAAAAAATGCCTCATTGCATCCCCTCCCTCTCCTTAAACCCAGGTACAAAAATAAAATTAGAAATTAAGTTTAAACTTGTTATTAACCTCAAAAAAACTTCAAAAATATCTTTTTAGATATAGATAATTTTTTCATAGATAAGTTGGCAATAAAATTTATACGGATTTAGCAAAATTTTTTATTATTAATGATGTTTGATACTTATATTGTTGTTGTAATAATGCCTCAAAAAAATAAATTAAGATTTCTATTTTGACCGTTGAAATACCCCAAAAATTTTATTATTTAATTAACATGTACCTGAGGTGGTTTAAAAAAATTTTCAATTTGATATTAGTATCTGTAATGTGGAAAATTGTCTATTTACCAAAATTCAGGATAATGCCTTATTACATTCATAAAACTGTTTAACGACAAAAAAAATGATCTTGCAGAAAAATGATCTTGGCATAAAAAAGAAAACCAAATCCTGAATATCTCATTGCTTAGGAGGAGAATCACTGAACAGTCTATTGCTTAGGAGGCTGTCTCTATTAATAAGTCAAGTTTTTTTAAAATGTAAATCATGCAAAAAGTAACCTAAAATATCAAACAAAAAAAAACCATAATACCATACCACCCCACCACCTAATCAACAAAAAAAACATCCTATGATACCAACCCACTACCTAACTGTTTTAATTTATTTTTTACAAAAATTTTTGGTCTGCAAAGCAACTTTCCATCAGTCGAATCTTATCTCTTGCAAATTTAAATTTTGCTTTGAATTCTGCTATTTCTTTTTCTGATCTCAGTGTTAATGGGTACTCAGACCTTGGCATGAAGCAGGAGCAATCGCTCCTGTCATGTGAAACGCACTCGTTAATGGAGTATTTACAAATTATGGGCGCGATAAAAAACACTAGCTAATTTAGTTACAAGAGTAAAAAATCATGCTCATCTTAAAAATTTGGGAGGGAGAAAACTAATAATGGTTTAATTCATTTTATATTAAATTTTTTTATAAAAAGTTTTTGTTAACGATTCTTGTTTAATTAATCAAAAAAGTTCTCTTATTGTTAAAAAACAAAATAATCTCTAATAATTGCGTTTTTTCAATTAAGTTAAAATGTTAAAGTTATACTTCAATTAAAAAACACATTTTTTTATGTTAACTTACGTCATTCTGTTGAAATTAGAGTGCAAATTTCTACAAACAATTAATGGTGATTTCCAGGGCCGTCCTGTTTTTTGCCGACCAATGCTAAAAAAATTTTTTTTGCCCACTAACTTATCTAAAAAATAAGAAAGTCCTTTTCAACATTTGCTGACTGTCAACTATAGATCTCATTTTGCCGACTAATAAAATTGATTGGGGTGGACTAGACACCACCTTACGCCCCCTCGGGATGGTCCTGGTGATTTGTGAATGAGACTTCTTAATATAAAATGTTTACAGCAAACATTTAATGAAATGAAATAAAATTTTATTTATTTATATAAGTGTAATAATAATATTAAATTGTATAGTAAATACAAATTAATAATAAGAAACATTGTTAATTTAATTTTGTAAAAGAATTTACTAAAAACCATATGTATAATAGTAAAAGTTTTTTATTTAATTTCGAAAAAAATTTTTCTAAAAAACGTGTTTTATACGGAATAGTTTGCTTATCGTTAAAAACAAAATAATTACTATTCACTTATTTTTAATTGCGTTTTGGCAGTCGAAGTAAAACATTAAAAAAACTTGTTTTCTAAATATTAACCTACGTCATTCGGTATATTAGAGCATTAGAAATGTTTTCGGACAAAATTTAACTAAATTTAAAAAGGTTTTGTTATTAAAATTATAACTTATATTATTTATAACTTAATTAAAATTATAATTTTATTTGATAAAAAAGAAAAGTTAAAGTTTGTGAAAACGTTTGCTAAAAAAATTATAAAAGTTCTATTAGCATTAACAACGAAAAAAACGTTAAAACATTAAATATGTTTTAACGAAAAGAAATCGTTATTTCATTGTTTTAATGTTTTAATGATGCGAAAACATTATAAATTTATATTTTAATTAAACAAATGAAACAATGAAAAAAATGAAAACTTATGAACTTCTTTCAAATAAATTTGATGTAATAATAAAAAAAAATTGACTGTAGTATTAAGTTAAAGATGAAGACAATAACAAAGAAAATACATAAAAGATAAATTTATACTTTAAAACAAGATCATCAAGAACTAGGTTGGAAAAAAAACAATCAGGTGCGATCAAATAATAAATAAGTATTTAGGAAGTTGAAAGAATTTTAAACGTTTTGTCAGGCAGTGCGCTGCTAAATAATAATTTAAAAATATTTATCGTCTAAAGAACAATGTATAACAAATTTAAAATTAATAAAATTGTGTTGGAAACCTATATTCAAAAAAAAAAAATAACTTGAATGTAAAAAGATGTTGTCTGATGCTAAGGTCCAGTAGTCTCAATTCACTAAATCTTGTATCTTATCTCAGAATTTTGGCTCTAGAAACATTTGGAAAATCTTCAACAGCAACATTAACAATGGTAAATCTAACATTTCATCTCATTCATAGGACTGATCATATTACCTCTCCCAAGGCAGAATTATTTGCAGAGAAATTTTCTTCTAATTTGACTCTTGAATGGTGCGGTATTTACATTATTTTATTACATTTGCTAAAGTTTTTCACAATTAAAAGTGTTTATAAATGTAATCATAGAAAAAGTTTGAAAAGATTTATTAAAAAATACATATTTATATAAATGTAATTAAGTATTATATTCTTTATACAAAGCATTTCACATATTCTAGTAATTTAAAAATAACGTATTAGTATATTTTCTTTTTTAAATTCAATTTTTTTAAGCTTGGATTTTTTTTTTTTCTTTAAGATTTTATTTTTTTAAATAAGTTATCTTTTCAATTTTATTTTTATTTTGAAACACCAGCGCATATTTTGAAACACCTTAAGTTGTTAAAACAATCTGCTGTGGTCAAGTTGTAAAAACAAAATATTTTATATGTTGTCAGGAATGGCGTTCAATCACATTTTTTTAGGTTTTATCGGACATGTCTGCCTAACTTGAATATTTATCGGGCAAATTGTCCAGAACAAAAAATTTGTATTTTGAGCCCTGCATCGAGTTACTAATTCGAATTGTTTTCTATATTTGTGATCCAGAATATATGTCATATAGCCTAGTTAATAATAGCCTTGATTAAAAAAATTTACTATCAGACCATGGTCTAGAAATTCATCAGATATAAGTCAAATTCAAAATATAAAAATAGTCAACATTCGGGAAACATCACAGCATAAACAAGCTTGCAAAATTTTATTGATTTTACTTTAATGTATGAAAAAGGTTATTTTTTGACCCTAATATCTAGGAAAAGATCCTAGAATTTAAAAATGACACACTGTGGAAATGTTTGTTAAACTAAATGTGCATCAAGGAGGTGTTTGATTTAAAAAATATAAGTAATTTAACAAATATTTTACACAAAGCCTTTTTGCTTTTTAAGATGTTGATTCTAACAATTTTATATATATATATATATATATATATATATATATATATATATATATATATATATATATATATATATATATATACATATATATATATATATATATATATATATATATATATATATATATATATATATATATATATATATATATATATATATATATGTATATATATATATATATATATATATATATATATATATATATATATTTATATTCGAAGTATTTATAATTTAGACGATAAATAAAAATAAATCAAAATGGGGAAAATGAAAAAAAAGGTAAAAATTTGTCATAATTATTAAATTTTATAAGTTTCATTCTTTAGTCTAGCAGGTTATTATGCAGGGATGCGGAGTTCCAAAAAGACATCTGGCCAAAAAGACCTCTACTCTTTTCAAGACTGTAGTGACCAGAAGCTCTAGGCATGTTTGTTGACTTATGATCTGCTTTAAGTAAAAAGTTCATGAGATTTAATGATTTGAAACTTATTTTTTTTAAGCCCGGAGTTCCAGAGCCCTTGCCGCCATTATACCTAAGGATTCTGAGTTCAAAAAATGGTTGTTCCTCTTACCTAAAAGTCCTAATTTTTTTCCTATTAGTTGTCCATAAACTTATTTATATTTTTAGAGCTCCTGAATATCAAAAACTAGGAAGAAATTATCATTTTGTGCCTTTCATATCCAGAGTCCTTTTTGGGACTTCGCATCCCTATTATTATGTATTTATTTTGATTAAAGTTGTAATGGACCATAATAGCATATAATAGAGCATTATTACATTCTTTGTTCTTAAAGCTATCTCTCTTCTTAAATTTTTTTGAATAGTTTTGAATAATGTTTGTTGTATATTTAATGTGTTTTTTAAAATTAAGTAGTTGACTTATAAGCATTACTTTAAATACATGAATTTACTGGTGGGAGTAACCATATTACTTGAGTTACGTTAAAAAAACTAATTTACCTGAGAATTTATAAAATGCTTTTGTTGCAGTAACTACACTATCAGTAAATAATTATTGAAAATTGTTTAGAGTATTTTAAACAATTATTAACAATATATTAGTAGATTTAATTTTAGTAGTTATTAATGTTTTTTAATTATTAGTAAATAAACATTTATAAATACTTTAATTTTTTATTAATTATTACACTACGAATTCATGGATTAATGGCCAAGTGGGCCTAAGACTGCAGATTTAAAGTGAGCCTTCAGCCTATTATTAAAGCAATTATAAAAATCGTAGCAGTAATGGGACAAAAAAGAAAGGAAATTTTTGTGTTTTTAAATTGTTATAATTCAATGCAGTGGAAATCATTTTCAAAATATTTACTGTAAAGAATAGTTTTTAATGTAATAACAAAATTGTTTAAAACTAAACAAACTAAAAAATCTATGCCGTAAATTGCAAATAATTCTTAAATGAAATTGCATTTTTTGTTACCTAGATTTTAATACTCTCGAGCGCCGAATACAACTGGGGGTGGGAATTTTAGTCTAAATCTAATAAACGGGGGGTTTTAATAAATAGGGGGGGGGGGGGGCATTTCCAATGTCCTCCCCCCCCCCCCCCCCCCTCCTCCTCCTTCATTTATCTGGCATGCAAATTATGCATGTTCAAGTCAAATGTGCATTTGACTTGCGGTCAAAAGCACATTTTCTAACAGCTGTTAGGGTAGGGTTAGGCTGTTTTATCATAATTTTAATAGGATTTAATATGCTGATATAAGTTTTATACTTTGCAAAGTATAAAACTTATAATGGCATTATATGGCGTTTGTCTGACGGGATAAACTAGTTATAAATGCTGATCCTCATCGAAACGCCAGTAATAATAGACATGACTCTGAGGAGCTGCTTATTACTTAATCACTACACAAATTATGTTTACACATTAGCATTAATGTTTTTTTCCATTATTAAATGCCTTTCATTGTTGTTAGTATATTTTTTATTTTGTGATCGGTTTTTTGTTTTATAAGTTTTTGTCTGGTGATGTATATCTTCGTTCATATTGGTGTTTATATAACAATTTTTTTTTTTTCAATTCATTTATTTTTGCTGTTATTATTGTTGTGGGTGTATAGCCTGTCTTATTTATTTTTAAATATTCCTCTATTAATCTTTATTTTTGTCTTGGCAACTGTCAAAATATGCTTTGTCTAATAAATAATTCTCCTTTATTCTAATGTACTTCATTTCTTCCCTCAGGCGTTCACTGCTTGTGTGTAACCATTCGGCGAATTTTATATGCCAAAGTTTTTAAATTATATTCAGCATATCAAATCCTATAATTAAAACCAAAGCTTTGTTGAGAAATAAACTAAAAGTTTATTTTTAGCAAATCGAGATTTAATAGGTCGACAATTTGTAAAACCTGTTTACACTGAAAGTTTTTGTTTTTATCGGTGACTGAAAATTATTTTAAAATTTTTAAGACCGATTTTCACAAATTTTTTTTTTTCACTTTTGAGATATATACAATTTTTTTTGTTGATAACAAGTAAAAATTAATAAACAGGGGGGGGGGGGTCTTAATAAGCTTTGTTCGTGTGAAAGTGTGTAGGACGTATTAAACCCAATAATAAAACATGACTTATTTTAGCATTATATATTTTTGTTTAAACGTTAGTCACTAACAAAAAAAAACGCCTCTCTTGTAAGTTTGTACACAATTATTTATGCCATATAATATTTCTCCAAGAGAGATATTATGGTATTTTCTAACTTTATAATGATCTATATAAAAAATTCTCTAATTGCCTCATTAGCGAAGGAAATCTCTAATGTCAATATATGATGCTTAGAGACGTTTATAATACAACTATATTATTAACATTAAACTATTATTTACACTAATTGCCTCGTGAACAAGCTTAGGGTGGGTGGGAAAAACATCCAAAAATTAATAAATAGGTGGGAAGGGAGACGTTTATTAGGAACTGGAGAGTAAAACTTTTATTAAGTTATTATAATCGTTATCTTTATTATTTTTAAAGTCAAAAAATATATGAAAAAGAAACAAAACATTTTATGATAAAGTTTACGTTTCATTTTTTTGTTTTCCTCATGTAAACTAAAATAGCAACCTAAAGATAAAAAGTTCATTCATTCTAAAATTAAATTTGATAGCTATCAAGGCTGTAAATTTTTTATTAATGTTCATTTATTATCAAAAGCAGTTCTCTCTTCATTACCAACAAACAAAAAATAATTTTACTCTGAGTGGAAATTATAAAATTGTTTTATCTCTCAAAAATGAAAATTTTATATTTATTTCCTTGTTATAAAATTTCATAACAAGTTTTTATAATTAAGTTTAAAGTAATGATATTTATTTTTTAAACTAACATTCAGTTGGTTACTGAAGGACAGTTACCTCGCATAATTATGTGAAAAAAGCAGTGGCTTTAAAATTTATATATATATATATATATATATATATATATATATATATATATATATATATATATATATATATATATATATATATATATATATATATATATATATATATATATATATATATATTGTGACGAATAAAATCGTCAAGCGTGTTATATCGCGCTCGTAAAATTAAAATATGTTTTCATCAAGCGTGATTATGTGCGCTCGAGATAACGTCGACGAGCGCAACATGAAAAATTGCTGAAGAATTTCTTTCGTCGACAAATGTTTTAATTAGTATCACACTCATGAAATAACACTCTTGTATATTGTCAGATCGTGATTTTTTTTTAATTATTTGTTATAAAAAAAAAAATACAAAAATGCAACTTCTTGTTGATTTAGTATTGAAGTATAATTTTTATTTTTTATAAGAAACCAATCAAACAGTTAGTACTAAAAAGTTTCTAATTTTGAGCATACTTTTTTCTAAATCTACTAGTAAAAGTTTAAAAGTTTCTTTAATTTCAAGTTTTTATTCCTAATCAAATTCAATTCAATTCGATTGTGCGTGGAAATTAAATTCTCATTGTAACTGTTGTTCTCCATCGTAGATAATATTAACTTCGATGAGATATTTAGGTGAAAAATGAGCAAATATTCATCAAACTTATAAATAAGTTTCTTATTGAAAAGTTACTTAGTTCTAAAAATTTCTTAAAATTTTAAGGCTCCTAGTACTAGTTTCTTATTAAAAAAAACGTGTAATTTTTTCTAACTTTTTTTAATGTTACAGTTGAATGAATAATAAAAAAGAGTTAACAAACTTTAATTAATGCAACGTTAGTTATAAATGTTAGTTTCATCTGTGTCATTAAAAAAAGAACTTTGAAAAAAAAAAAGAACGCTGTTGTTCAAAAAGTAGTTTGTTCTTAGTTTAATCAAGTTTTTTTAGGTTTAATTTTTTTCTTTTGTTAACAAACTTTTTTTTGGTTATTATTTTTTTTATTTTTCTTATAGTTTAGTTTAATTTTTTCAGCACATTTTAAAATAATTAAATATCAACATTTAACATAAACATCATCAAGCATTTGCAAATGTGTAAATGCTTAATAGCCAAATCATCAAAACAAAATATGAGGCGCCTCAGGAAAAGGTAAGAAGTGAAAAAAAATTAACCAGTGAAAAAAAGTTAACAAGATAATGATCCGTAAAGAAAGTAATCTCTATATATTATTATCTTTAAAATCTTTATTGTTAAGATAATAATTTATTAGTTACCTTTGAGGATTTTGTATTTTGTATTCCATCGGTTGATGTAACACATCGCTCATTTGAGGGTTTCTCGCTTTCACACCTTATTGCAGTAAGGTGAGAAGCTGATTCCAAATGTCTTTGAATTGTGTGGATCGACACAAAGTTCGTCCCATCAATAAACCGTAAAGCATATTGTCGTATCAAACTTTTACAACCTTGTAATACCGCTTCTCTATTTCTTGTACAAACAGTAAATGCAGTAAATTTCAACAACATATGTAGTTCCGCTGGTAACTTCAGTTCTAAAGCCTATTACCTCTTGAACTTTCCATTTAATAAATGTTGACAACATTACTTTGTTTCCTTTTGGAATGTCATTGATTGCGGACATTCTAAACAACAGAATCGTTTTGAATTTCAGTTAAAATAAATAATAGTTAATAAAAAACTTATACTATAAACAAAAACTAATTTAAAAAATTACTGAATCATTATTATTTATTTTTATTTTAAACGATGTATATTACAAACGATGTATATTACAAACAATAAATCAAATAAATCTTACTTGATGTTTTCACAAGATTAAAAATATTCTGCAGTTTCAATTTTTTATAATGGTTTTCTAATTTTTTAT